CATTCCCCAAAAGTTTACCTATTAAAATAATTTGTTTTCTCTGGGCAGCTGATGGAAACACTGAAAGCAACCACAATTATTTCTTATGGTAGCATGGAAGTACTTTAAGGACAGGTTCTGGAGTATTAGCAGATACTGTAATCAATTGTTTCTCACCTTACCACATGGCAGTGTAGGCAGTACAAGGTATTTACTAATCTCTCTAGTTTAGAAGTGCTGATACTCTGTGTACATTGTAGCATTCTTTTTGGCAAGAAAATATAATTTCAGCTGCTATTAGTTAAAAGACTGCTAGAAGGGAATCCATTAAAGATTCTACTATTTTATTGCTCATGAAAAGAATTCTGTAGTCTTCCATACATATTTCAAAACATCAGTTCTTAGGATATGTATTTTCTTACTATTTTATAGATAATGTTCCTAGAAATGGATCACAGAAGAGTCATAGTCTCACTAAATAGCTACAATTCTTTAAGAAAAAGTTTCTTAACACTTCTGCTTTCAGAAAAGAGAAAGGACTGAGAGAATACATAAATACATCTACTATAGAGAAAATACTTGGATATCAAGGCAGGAACTTTTGAACGGATCAGTTAGTCCAACCACCAATGAAACAAAGATTTCCATTTCTAAACAACTGTTTTTCACCTCAATTTTGTGCAAATGGAGTTGTAGTGAAAGTTGTATGTAGATGACAGGTAGACACCAAAGAAGAGGATTCACTGAGTAAATAACTGATACAATAGCCATCTCCTCTTGTTTTCACACTGACAAGAGAGTATGTTACAGGGAAGAGTTTATATATTTTAGTATTTCAGAAATCATCACTTGACATGAAAAAAGCTTAATGAAAGAATCACTAAGCAACAGAAAAAATATGCCTTCATCCAAAAAGCTCTTTGTTGGACCTGTGCTCAATGAGAGAGCAAATGTCGGGAGCTGCCGCTAAGCATGTTGTCCAACCAAGATTAGCTTAGCACAAAACTATGAAGCTGATCAGCACCGAGTTTGGGCAGCATTAGTTCAGTTGACACCACTGTTTACTGCAGAAGAAAGAACAAAGAAAAGTTCTATGCGAAATACAAAACAGCTGGAAGTTCACACTTTTCAGTATGAGACTTTGATTTTTTGCTGGACTTTTTTAAAAGCACCCACCCAAAGTATTATCAGCGTAAAGCAGAGCTTGCTGGTAGCTAAAAAGGTTCATTTTGGCTCTTGTAAAATATACACACCACTGAAGAACAGATGTACTCTGATTTTTATCTTCCCAAAGAAAATATAAGGTACAAACCAAGATAGTTTGCATCTATTAATGCACTGATTTTACTACGTTCTTTGCCAATTTTAAACCAGAAGAGATAATATATCATACTTGAGCATTACCCATTTTAAAAGCATCCAATTAATAAGTTTTCTTTGTTAGAGATACTGGATTAAAACTATTACTTATGTTGATCATATTAAAATTCTTAGAGTGGCTTGAGGGTTCCTGCTCTAGTATTACTGCTGCAGTAACAAAACCCAAACAGTTAGGAATGTTCACCACTGAATGAATTCTTGAATTTAGTCAGCTGTTTAGTTCATTCTTGGATTACTGTTAGAGGGGAAGAAGTCCCTTTATTATTCATCCACAGAAATTTTACAAAAATACAATATTCAAGTTGAGAAGGAAACGGTGTCCCTGTGACACAGACCTTGTGCCTCACTGTGTTCCTACGCAGAGGTACAAGGTACAAAGCTACAATAATTGTTATCCAGTTCCCTCAAAATCAGGAGCCTATAGGACATCAAAGTTCTGACAAGTAGGGATTAGAAGAGAGATCAAAAGACTAGACATCAACAACTTAAAGGATGTAGTTACTATATAGCAAGAAGCTGTTCTGTAAATACTTCAGAGGGAATTTCAATGCAGGTGAGTAAGGCCAGTATGTACATAAAGGAAATAAAATACTAATAAAAAGGGAATATTCAGTAGCCCAGGCCAGCAAGTAGAAATGAGTGTACACAGTAAAAACACAAGCTGAATCATTCTATCGAACTTGATACATTCCCTCTGGAGCAGAAACTTGTGTACTATCCTCCATGACAAAATGTCCATTATAATGGACGCCCAGTGAGAGGATTTAGTCTGTAACAAATTCAAAAGAACTATACATACTTAGTCATGCAAAACCTGTTTAAATATTGTGACAGGTTTCTTACAACTCCTGAGAGCTGGAGACTAGAGGGAGATAGAACCAGTGAGATTAACCATTTTTACAGTCTGGTTATTTTAACAGCAATAATATAGACTGCATAGTACTGCACCATTTTTGTTAAATGGCACCTCAATAAGGAGTTTGCAAAATTTCCCTGGTGGCCTGTGCAGTTCTGGCTAGCTTTGACTCTGCTGCATTGTAAGCTGCTCCAGATCCCTGTTGTCAAAAGGTCTTACAAGACTTCTGTCCAAAAACTATGGTGTAAACTCTCCTTGGACAAAGATATGGAGTTTCTAGTATCCCTGCCTGCTACTTGAAGAAAACCATTCAGAGATCCCATAATGGTCATACTTACTTTGATATCAATGCTGTTATCGGCTACTGGCCAACAGCATCGCTGCCTGTGCTGTCTTTTTCAGTACAGTCCCACTGCATCACCTTTCTGTTTGATGATACTGGCTGCTTAATTACTAAAGAGATTCCACAGACTGTTCTTCAAAGCCTGAAAAGATACCTGTAGACTGGGATTGTCCCAGTCTTGGGAAAAGAGATGCATTTCTTGTGCCTAAGGCACAAGCCTAAGCACTAAAGCCAAGCCAAATGTGCTGGACCAAATCCCTTGGAACCAGGAAACCTAACGTAGTTCTGAAGATTTCCATCCAGGTTCAGAACTAGCAGATTGGGTATTTGCTAGGTTTTTCAGCAAGTGTTATAGGTTTAAGATGAAGGGTGGGAGGACTGCAACTGCTCCAATCTTTGAGAAGTACAAATAAGCATAGGGCACGTTGTACCAATGCATTTCACACTAGGTTAGTTCTGTGTGCGCAGAACACACCTGCAGCATGATCCCAATTACACGCACTTGAAGAAGTGCGCCCAAAGGAATTGATACCAGGTTTTAAAACGCATGACACCACTTTTGTATACTTTTTTCTCTAAAACTTAATAAAATGTTGTTGGTGTTGGCCTTAAGGTTGGTATAGAAGCATTGCCAAAGTAAATGCTTTAAAAAAAACCAACACAAGCAACCTTACTTTTATTTTTTTCTTTTAAACTCAGTATTAGATATTGATCACATTCACCAAGCATGTCTGTTCCACCTCTATTCTGCACTATTCTTAGACTGTGATCGTGCAATCTTACTGTCTCAAAAAAGCTGAACCAGACCTGATAGATCTCGGAAATTCTTCTTCTGGCATTTCAAGCAAGGCAGCTGCCTGAAAGCTTCACTAGCCGCTAAACCCAAGAGCTGCAAGAAAGCGCTTTTCTCAGCCAAGTCTTTATAAAGCTTTTCTTGTACTTCCTGCACTCATCCCTTACGACAGCACACTTTATCTGCCCATTGTCACTTGCCAGATTCAGTCTCTGCCAGATGCAGTCTTTGAAGGGCTACAGCTTTTGTCTGTGACTTTTTGCTCTTTAGTTAGTTATTAAAACTTACTTTCAGTTAGCTTTTATATGGCTGTTTCAAGGACATTCTATAAAGTAATATAAGTCTATGAGTTACTAAACACTTAGAGCCATCTCATCAGGATACTGCACACAGGACCAGCCCCAGGAGAGCTGCATTCTGCACTAATTAATTCCAAGCAGAATTTGGCAAGAGTTGGCAGCAAGTCTCATTTCAGTTGCATTTCTTTTACCTATTTGGACTTTCAATTACTCCCTTCCTCTTTCTTATTCAGCCCAACTGCTGAAATACTTTCCATGTTCCATTTTTACCTTGTCCAAGAACATTTGACTTGTCCTCGCAAAATATGTGAGCCAAATACCTTGTCTTGTATGAGAGATATCCAGACTGACAGCTGACAGCTCTCTGTTAGCTCATTCATTATCTATTCAATACTCTTAACACATTCACAGGCCAAAAAAATTCAAGGGTATGATACTTGGTTCTCCCCCTATACTTTTACAGAAATATCTTGTGAGACCATTTGAGGCACAGCAAAAACTAATTCGTAAGTTTATACATATTTAAAGCGACAAAATTCTCTCTCATATATTCTGTATTTAAAAAAAAAAAGTCTTTGTTATCTTCATGCTGCAGCATCTTCCAGTGGCTTGTAATAGCTTTCCGATATATTTATCAGCCAATTCCTACTATCGGTGATATGCACTGAACACTCCTGATTCCACTTTCCAGCACAGGCCTTCTCTGTCACAAGCATCAAACCAACTCCTTCTAGATGGAGTGTTTCTGTTCACCTCTTTGGTATCATTGTGGAATCTTTACAGTTTAGTAGCTGGTTGTGCTTAAGTACAAGCTACAGGAAAATCAGTTGACACAACTCCAAAGTTATAATTTTGTCTCCAAGAATGTAAGATGCACGTTAGATCACATCACCCAACACAGAAAAAAAACCCCATACCTTTTGATGAACCAAATTATCAAAACCAAAATATTAACAGGTCATTGGCAAGAAACTGACTGGATCATACAGCAAATTTTAGAGGGACTAATAGTTATATTTTTATCTATTTCTTGACAGTGTACTTTCATTGTTTTCTTAGGCAGAAGAATAATGAAAAAACCAAACACGTATCTTTCAACACCAGCAACGCTTATTATTATGTCTTAATCTAGATTTTTAGAGCCACAGAAGAAATGCTGTTCCTCGGTATGAATAATGCATTTATTATCATTCTGAGAAACACAGAAAGAAAGCAGCACATGAGAATTACCATGAGCAAAATAAAATTGGCAGTTTCCTTTCAGGGGGAGAGAACATGAGCTAAGAGAATCGAAGTTAACACTGACGCTAACATGAAAGGAGAAATGTTCTTTATACATGAGAAACTTACCAGTACTGTTTGCCCTTGGGAAATAAAGAAATGGCCAGATACAACAATGGTAAGGATAAGATGGCCTGATTCTTCACTTGATTCAAAAACCTTTTAAAAGAGAGACAAAATAAAAATCGAGACTTGTAAGCACAAAACCTATCTTTTCCCTTTCTAGTGCAAAATAAGAGGTTTCAAAGGTCAGTGTTAGAAGTCAGGTGTATAATTTCCCTCTCAGTAATGCAACTTGCCGTCCACTCCCATACACCAGAGGCACATTTAAGAAATTTTTATTAAATCATAACTCCATTATAACTACTTTAACAACCATCTGAACTCTTCCAATTTGATCTAGAGTTTTTAATACCACACGTCACTGCTGAAGGAAGGAATAAAAACATTTAGGCTACTAACTATCATATCATTGAGGTGTTAATTAATGAAGCATTACATTAATTAATGAAGCAAAATCTCTCCCGATTCCTGCATAACATCTGAACTTTCAAAAAGATACCTACAAAGGCCTCACTCATTACCGTTTGCCACACAGCGGCTTCCCAGACCCCACTGGAGCCAGTTACAGCAAACCCAAGCAGTCAGCTCCCCCCCGCTGCACCGCACCTTCCAAGAGGAGCTGTTTTGCCCTTCATCATCACCATCCGTCGGCGGTAGGAAGCGGCCGTAGCGCTTCAAGGGCCACGTTGTGGCGCTGCTGAGGAGGGAGGTGTCGCCGGTGCCGCCCGGGGCTGAGGTCAGCCCCGGCTCGGAACCACGAGCCCCGCCCGCCACCTCCATCTTTGCGCTGATGGGAGTGTGGTGCCCGAGGGCAGCGGGAAGCACCGCGCGGGCGGCTCGCGAGCAGGGGTTGAGCGGGAAGCAGGAGCCAATAGGAGGGAAGAGAGAGCGCGTGGGGGGGACTTGTTCACGAATCAGCGGGCGGCAGAGAAACGAGAGCCAATGAGGTAGCGCGCTCGGGCTTGCGCTGGTGTTCTTCTAGCGAGCGGTTGCACGCGCTGGGGTGTGGTTGCTTAGCTCGCCTCAGCTCTTGCGGGCGCCATTTTGTGAGGGCTGGGGGAACGCGCAGCGCGAATAGCGGCGTGTTACTGCGCTCCGTGAAATGTCTGTGGAAGCTCCCACGACATTAGCATGCATTCTTCCTCAGGTGAAATATGTGCAAGTCCTTCTAAAAAAGGTGCCCTAAACTCTAAATTGCATTTTCAGTTCTTGGTGTATGGCGCTGGGCTCACTTCGCAGAACTTACAACAGCGTTTTTGTGGTACCTGAAGTGGGAGTTGTGTTAAATATCAAAAAAAAAAAAACCCTTTTCAGTGTATGCTGCCTGTTGTTACCTGGGTTTGCACAGCTGAATTAATTGAAACCGTGCTTCTTTTTGTTGTTCTGCTTGCTTTCTGCTATGAGGTTGCTAGTAGAATTATGTAATGCTACACTTTCTCTAGAAAAAGACTGGTGGTGAAATAACTCATTTTAAGTTATTTCACTTAGATGGAATACCTAAGATTGCACTTAGGTATTCCATTTATAGTACACATCTTGGCCCATTATCAGTAAAAAAACCGTGCGTTAGCCCGTCAAGGTCATTGAGAGGACGTGGAAGAGCCAGTTACAGAAGATGGCTTAGGGATGCCAGGTCATTACAATCCACTGTTAAACCGTCTGCATGCTTGAGGGTACTGTAGCAGTAGATTTAATCCTGGTTCCAAGCATTGCCTCCTGCCAGTAGCACATATTTGATTAAGGTGAAGCTTGGCTAATAGTCATACTTCTTAAATTAAGCAGAACAAAGAAGCTTATGCCAATTTTTTGGTTTTGTTTTGTTATCTTTATGGTTTGCACTTATGTTGCTGGTTTGACTGATACGAATAAGCCTAAAATGGAACAAGTAACTGCTGTCTCATCTGAAATAACATCTTCAGGTACAAGGTTAACCTGTTGTGTAAACTGTGATGGTTTAATCTGTTCCAAAATACTAGATTGACATTTATGTCATGTGGCCATTGTGTTTTTCATGTGATGTTGCACCCTAAGAGCCAGATTAACATCTGAGGAACTATTTCCATAATAAGCAGTTTTACAGTGTTTTCAAAAGGAAGGTGTTTATCTAAATGTTTTGCGGAAAGGGAAACACAGGCAGAAAGGCATTAAATGACTTGACAGGGTCATCCAGAAAAATCAGTAATGAAACAGGGAATGCAGAGTGGGCCTCCTGGCTGCCAGTTGCCTTCTCTAATCACTGCTTCCCCAGGAGCACTTCTCAAAATTATGCTTGTCAAACATTCAGAATTGGCCTGTAAACTTGGGACTTTCTTGGAAAGTACAGAAGAAGCTAAATATTATTGTCAGAGAAAGATAGTGTGAGGGCATATATTGAATCTGTTTTCACCTAATGCAGCTGAAGTTGTGCGGAAAATGGTTTGTTTGCGGTATCTTTTAGCATCTCTTTTTCAAGAGTGAGTTCTGACAGATGTGCTAAAGGCTTCTGTAGGAGAAAAAGAAAAGCTCAATCATTTACCAAAACATTAATTTCAAAATGTGGTTTTGAAAGAGGCAAAAGTAAACAAAGAGCATCAGATACTCCCAGCAAATCCTTTAAAAATAATGTTTTATTGAAATGGCATATGAAAAGAAGGAGTTATTAGGGCGACATAAAGCCAGTCACCATGTGTAAAAGGCTGTACAAATTATTTCCTTCATGGCGTTGTTAGGGCACCTCAGTAGTGTAGACAGTACCTACAGTTTATTTAGACCTGAGGCTCAGCTAGTGCAACTCAACCACGATTGAGCAGATTCTCATTCTGCTCTCACCCAGAGGTACCAATTGCAGCCATGTTTACTTTGGATGCTGATCCTTAAACATGACTCTGGCACCCTTTAATTTTCTGATTATAGGTTTTTTGCTTAACTAGGGTCTACTAGTTTGCTTTTAGTTTTTGGACATGAATGCCTTATGTTTTTACATGTGTATAAAGTAAGGTTTGAACCAGGAGAAATGAACATTGTGTTAAGACTGATACACAAGCTCTTGCCAATTCTGATTTCTTTGGGGAATTGCATGATTAGTTTTGTGTTCAGAGAGTTGACATGTTGGAAGATGGTTAAAATGTGGGGTTTTTTTGTTTTTTGTGGGGTGTTTTTTTTTAAAAGGCTACAGAGGTTGCCAGTTTTTTAAAATTACTAAATAGAATGTAGAAGGAGGAGACTGGTAGGTGAGCCTAACGTATTAAAATGTATTTAATCAGAGATGAGATAGCAAATCCCGTGTATGTGCCAAGGGTTTATCACTGGGGTGTGCTTCAGATTTGCTTAAGACTTTGCAGACTGCAGTGGTAAAAGTTAATTCTGTCACTGCAGAAGTATGTAGTCCTGTTAATAAGTCAGAGAAACTGCCAGAAGCAGAGATCTGTGCAGGAAGAGAGATCCTTTCTGTTCCTGTACAATATTAATTTGCTAACGTGCTAATATTTGGGTTTTTTCTGTAGGGAAGATGAGAATGGATTTGTTATTGTCTGGGAGTAAAGCAAAATGCTGCAGTAACTTACTAGCCTGGATTATGTAGACTGTATGTATGACAGTTGGTTTTGGTACTAGGTATTTTGCTGAGCCATCTACATTACTGATTTTTAATAATAATGGTGGTGATAAAAGTGATAAAATCATATTACTATAACTGTATTATCAAATATGTGTGTAGATTTGCCACAAGTGCAAAAAATGGACTGGAGTAACTTATACAAGTTGGACAAGTAATGTATGAACAAAATAGAGGCTACCAGATGCATGAAATGGATAAATTAACAACAAAAGTTACATTTTTTAGAAATTCTGGAGGTTTCCCTGTGGTACTGACAACTTACCGTCTGCTTCTACACAGCTGTGTTAAAAGGATAAATACGATTACTCAGAGCAGCATAAATAACAGGCTAGTGAAAATGTTCTATTCAGAATACCTGATTTATTGCTTTGATTTTTATAATAAACAGCGTTACCTTATGCTTTAGTTGCTGTTAGTAGTTGTGAGACTTCTTCAGTAACTAACAGATTCAGTCCGTTAATTAATGTTTCACATAGTTGTATATGCTTTCATCTGAGTGTGATCTGATTGTTAGCAACCTCACTGCCCAGATCTCTCAGTGCTAATGAAATTGCAGCATCTTGATATTTGATTATTGCGTAGCAGTTCTGTACTCATCAAAAAATATCTTCATCCAGTTTTGGTGACACAAGGCAGCACTGAGGGAGATGAACTTCAGAGTTTGAAGCCAAGGACAATGTGGTGTTCTAGGCTCTGGTACGATGGCCTCTGCTGTCCTGAGGAGTGTCAGATATTTACATACCTATTAGGAGACCTCATTCCTCAGCTGTTGAACTACAATCACTGAATTTTACTCATTGGTTTTATCCTGTTTTATTTTTTTCTTTGCCAAAATCTACCCATTGCAATGAACTTTACATTTTTAAGTGAAAACCAGAAACCAAATCTGTGCATTTCTGACTGAATGTACTTCAAGTATTTTTGTAAGGAAGGAGTGAAGTGTTATGACTTGTATTTGGCATCAGGCTCAAATTGTAATTTGCAGTTACATTTCATCGTCTCTCATTTCTCTTCAATGGCCATATCAAGATTAAGATTGGATTAAGCACCACAAGAATTAAAGGGTCGTTCCGGCTCAGTGTCTTCCAGAATTTTAAGCAGCTGATCCTTCTCATTTGCCAAAGTCAAAACATTTTCTCCAATGAAGTCTTCAATTATCCTTTTTTTTTTTTTTTCAGAAGTTACTCAGTTTTAGTGTGTTTGCAGAAATTGATTCCACAAATTCATGTATAGTTTCTGTTTATCTAATGGTGACATTCATAACTTGTCAAGTGTTGTATACCTAAATGACACCTTCATCTTACTCCCTAAATTATATTATTTGTGAGGATGCTTGAGATTTACAAGGAAGCTATGAAAGCTGATACAGCAGTGTGTGTTGATGTGCACACTTAGTTATGTGACAAAAAAAGTAGCTTCTGAATTGGGTCAGAATCTTTAAATAGGTAGGTGGATATAGATGTCAAAAAGGTCTATCTACACAAGGTCTGTGTGGCTGTTGCGCAGTAAGTGGAAGAGCCCTTTGCTAGTTCTTTTACAAACAGCCAGTGTCAATAGAAAGCAGAGCTTGTCCCCAGTCAGTGGGGACAAACAAAAGACAGTGTGACTGGATTTGCACGAAGACCCCTGACTTAATGATGCCTTTATCTTCGTTGTGTGTTTTGTGTCTGTTCCACAAAGTCTTAGACTTTTTCTAGCGAAGGTCACATTTACTCAAAGTATAATTATTTGCACTGCCTTTCTTTCCTTTTAAGTTTTCTAACTTTAGTACTCATGACACAGATGAAGGAGTTTCTGCCTCACAGATTTTCTATTTACATAAAAAAACCCCACCCACAAACACCCTTCACTGTCAGTGCATCCATTTTGCTGAGTGCCTTTCATTTTCGATGACCTTGAAAACATAAGGGCATTTATTAATTAATTCATGTTTACAGATGGGTGGAGGGGAGAATTGCAGATTGGAGATAAGCAATTTGTTGTATGCCCCTTATTTGATGAGGATTGTGGAAAGGAGAAATAGTCCTTGCCATTGCAAAGATTTCCCATCCCAATCATCTGTGTTTTTAATTTAACCACTGGTTAAATAATGACCCTAGCAGGAAGAGAAGAGTCTGGACTTAGAGTAATTATTGTAACTGAATTCCTGACTGTCTTGGATATGGACAGGAACTGTAATTATCTC